CTTAAAAACACCTGATTGATGTTTGCTTATGAAAACATGTAGGATAAACAACACGAGTCCTTAAAGTGAAGGCACAAATGATCTTTATTCATAACCAGACGTCTTCAATGAAAACGTCAATAAGACGTCGTAAGACTGCGCCATTTGGTAACGTTAGGCTGCGTGATTTGTTAACGTCACTTAAGAATCATTGGAAATGACATTCCAGTATCGAGTATGGCTTTCGTTAGAAACCACTGTAGTATCATCTGAACATACAACTGACGATGATCTTCTCGTCCAACACACACCACTTCGTCTTGATTTATGTCTTATTTCAGGTATTTCAGGCTCGCTGACTTGGTTGACACATGTCATCGTATCCCAATTGCGTAGATCGATGTTCATCATTGGATTGTCTGGTCCATACTCGATTATTTACAGACCGGCACCCTCTAGCTGGAATATTGCTGAGTGCGGTGTAAACCTAAACTCACTCACTAGTTCATGCAATTTGCAACATTTGTAATATTCGCGTTTGTTTTTGGTATTCAGTATATGTTAAAAACACGGATAAATGCTTAATATCACTATACCTTTGAGCGAGTTTCATGAGAAAATGGTAGCCTTCACAACATGTAAATATTGAAGCATTAACCTAAATGAGATGAAGAGCATATCTTTCTCTTTTGTGCGATTAATTTAAACGATTTTCCGCAAATCCTTATGAATTTGGATTTTGAGAAATCGTACGTCATTTTCAAACTACTGAGATTATATTTTAAAATGATCTTTCCAGATCGGATATGCCGATGTAGCTGTTTTTGATGTACTTGAGGCTGCTGGCGCTTTGAAAGGCCCGGTAGATGGCTTCCCGTTGGTCAAGGCCAACGTAGAGAAGGTCAAGTCTAATCCAAGAATAGCCCAGTATTTAGCCAAACGACCGCAAACACCGATGTAGAGGACAAATAACTAGAAGAGGAACACCTATTTTTATAACATATACTTTAACTGGCACGCATCATATCGACAACTCATTTTTTTTGTCGAAGAAAAGAATAAACGCGTGCCGAGGCTCCTGTCTTTAGTTGGCATGGATTAGAATAAAAGTATAAACTGTAACCGTTTTGTATTATTTTTTGTTCTTTTGTAACGATACAGGCAAGATGTTCCAGTTACTTAGGCATGTCATGAAGATATAGTTTTTGTGGTGCTTGACAGTCGTTTATTGCAAAAAGGGATTAACTTTAAACAGTGTTCATTGTTGTTATTGCGAGTTTCCTTGTCACTGTTTGAAAGGAAGCTGTGATCGTGATGAAGGGTTTTGGTTCTTTAAAGATCACATATACTCTAGGGGGGTACAAATATATAAGTCACTAATTGGCATAGTTATAAATGAAACCCCGTCATTAAAACTACTCATTTCGATCTTTAATTACTTAAATCGACCTTTTTGACAACAGTGCACAATTCTCTCCCGCGAACGAAATTTCAACCAATCAGAGGGGTGCGTCTCCGTGACGTATACATACGAGGGGCGCTTTAGAATTTATGTACATTCAGGGGGTAAATTATCTTGTTTACAGGTTTGTAAAAACCTGAAATCGTGACAATTGTTGTGGAAAATGAAAGATATGTGTTCTCACAATCCATTGTCATTTAATCTTGTCACCTGCTTTGCCGAGTTACAACTTGTTTTCGGACGATTCTGTCAAAATCGCTTGGTGTCGCTAGGCCTTATTTGTTCGAGCCAGACGCTAGTGATAGTAAAAATGATGATCAACCTCGCTCATCACGCTTAAGGTTAATTTCTTCAACCTGAACAGTGCGACATTAGGAAGGGTGGATGCCCATCAGATGCTGTTATTTGAAAATATCCCCGTCGTTCTTGTCTGATTGTAATAAAGTATCAAAACAGTGTAGGCTTTTTTCAGATTTTCTAATGCCTGGATGGTATAATGACTCATCCAAGTTGATCCCATTTCTGTGTTTTTCACCTCGATATTTAATCATGTCATGTAAAAATATGACGTCTATTACGTATGATATTACAAATTGACATTTGATGTATTTGAATCGGAAAACTAAACAAGCCCACTTTGCCATTGCTAGAAGAATCTACAATTAATTGGCAAATATGAATACTAGTCTCAGGACGTCGAAATGCTTATATATTTCTTATCAATGTTAATGAAGTTCTGGTCAAAAGTGTCGGCGTTTTGATGCTGAAATTTGCATGAAATACAACAATTAATGCATTTTGTTGTAACCCTAATACTGTATATACCTATTTACCTATTTGTCATCATTATAGATTCTTCTGTTAATGAATTTATAAGTAGGTATAATTAGTTTTAACCGATTCAGATTACCCGACAAAGGTTCAATTTGGCATTATCATACGTAATGGACGTAAATACTCAACATGCCATGATTAAATATCGATGTGGAGATGTTCCTGCCATTTCCGGTTCAGGCTCATAACGCCGACCTTTCGACCAAACTTTACGGTTGAGTGAAATATAAAGGTCGACGTCCTGAGACTAGTTTCATTTTGCCAATTAATAATGGATTACGAGGACAATGCAGGATCAAAGAGTTATTAGAGGAGGATAATCCGGATTATGCGGATGAGAGCGCACCTAATGAGAAGATGACAACAGATGACAGATATTTATCAGTTGACAGATTTTAGCATTTTTAATAAATGCATCGTAAATTCCTATAGCATACATTTTTTCGCAGATTTTAACCTAAATGCAATAGGTGGGATGCTGAATCAGCAAACTGCCTCACGGACAGTGTTCCTTTTTCAAGCTGGTGACAAATGTCATCCAGTCGTCGCTCCAAATCCCTGTATTTCCTCTTCTTAGACGGACGCTTCTGGCCAGCAGCATATTGGACCAACTTGTTTTCGGTGTTGGTCCGTTCTCGTGACAGCAACGACACAATCTCGAAAATGGTTGGATGAGCCTTGCTGACGTATTTCTTCAGGCATGAATGCCACCCTTCTAGGTGGTTGTTTGTTTTGGCCCATCTGTGTTGTGGTGGTTCCATTGCGTCATGTGCAGATCTCCCTCCACCCAGAAGTTGGTCATGTAGTCTCTGAGTTGTCGGCAGCGGTCTTCATCAGTCTTTTGCAGTGCATATCCAAGATATCCAGTCTCGTTTTCTCTTGCTGACTCTGTACGTGAACCCGCCAACAACCAAGTAACGACTGCCGCGAGCTGTAGGGACGAATCTCTGATCTAGCTGTGCATTTGCCATTTCGAAATAGAATGTGAATCCATTCCATAGATATTTATACCAAAGATATGAACAGTGTTCAATATTGGCACTCTACTACTAGTAAGTGTTATTGTAAACTTTTCAATCAATTGGAAGTGACATGTGCGACGAGGTCACCCTATCAAAACATCTAGAGTAGATTATCCGCAACGCTCATTAAGCCTAATCAGAACCAAACCTTCAAAGGAAACCGCAGGTCGGCGTCCTGAGACTAGTGGAAAATCGAAAGGTCGGCGTCCTGAGACGACACCGTAGCGCATGGAAGTGCAGCAAGAAGAATTATCAGCCGAGTTACAAAAACAAACATCGATCAAAAGATTAACCGATAACACGCTGATTGATGAATTACTTTTATCTTGCACAGCGGATTTGTCAAAAGGTAGTGTTTATGCATGTGGATTTACTAATCTATACTGAATACACTCTGTCGTAAGGTGTCTGTGTAAAGCAACGTCCTTCTTTCAAAGGATTAACCGCCAATACATTGATTGATTGCTCATTATTGGCTAACAAAATTACTTTTTTTTCAAGAATGGTGGACATTATGCAAGTAGTTGCCAGGTATGCTATCTTGGGTGACCAATGAGACTATACACCAATGTGAAAAACCTGAAACGATACATCACCTTTTCGCATATTAGACTGTTAAAAGACACATCACTTGGAACAGCTGCAGATGAACGGCGTGTATGTGGATATTGATGGATACATTCCTCGAACAAGGTAATAGCCTGACATTGTTCCTATAACTTTAATCAGTTTTAATTTTAATATTTGCATTTTGTTTTTATTCATTTGTCGTAGCATTCAACAGAATCATTGTTTTCGCCGTGAAGTGTAATGACAACATACACTAGGGCGTGTGTGCGAATTATGATTCACATTGACAAACTATAAAATGTCTAGATATAACAGTCCTGTTATAAATTCACTATAAGTATCAGCAGATCGCCTGCTTTTTATTAAGCTTCAAAATGCATACAAGTGTGATAATAAACTGATTAGTATTATAATTTTAATTTCTATTTTCTAGGTTGCAAAAATATTTGTTTGGTTTTCCCCCTCTTCATACCATAAAATTTTGTTTCTGAGCTGTATACCCCTTATTTCATCTTCTTTAATTTGTTGTAGTTCAAGTTTATGTTTTGCAAGTTCAGATAATAAATTTTCCTCAATAGTTTGAAAGTCTTTTCTTATTGATTCTTCATAGTCCTTAATTTTAGTTTCTAATTCTGAGGTTTTATCAATGGTTTTCTTTTTTAGAAAGGTTGAAAATGAAATTAATTTTCCTCTAACTTTCATAAGGAAGGAGAGCGGACAGTTGGTGGTTTGTTGCCATGTCCAACCTAAACAGGCTGAACTGTGCTATTTGTTGTTGCCCTGCCTGGCATTCAGCAAGACTGGGATAGAACAAGACTTGGACGGCTCGGAGTATTAACTGTGTGGGGTATTCATTGAAACAGCAACAGGATGTTAGCATGGACCTGCGTTATGAACAGATGCATTTAAATGCAGAAACATCCACGCACATGAACTCGCACGAACGCACACACATGCTCAAAACAAGCCAACCGAAATCTTTATCTACCGGTAAGAGTACATTTGGTAACAATTGCTATTCTGACTCTTTTCCCGTTTAATATTTCGATATAGGTCACTCGTGAACGCTTTAAATTGGGGAACTGAACCCGGTCATTACACAAAAACTACCAAACGCAAACACAAGCCAAGCCGTGCAAAGAGAGACGCCCTTCTTTATCTCTGCTCAAAACCCACACCACGATTTCGCGGTGGTGACCCAGCTCAATCCGGGACGCTGTTTGAACACACAATGAACATGTAACTGCATATCACCGCGCATAAGGGCAAAGACAGCAGTTGAAGGCGGAGGTAGCACTCTCACCGTATACCCACGATCATGCCGACATACAGATTCCGTTATTTCAACTACAAGGCAATGGGCGAAGTGTGCCGACTGATGTTTGCGCTTGCTGGTCAGGAGTTCGAGGACGTCAGGATCACCCACGAACAATGGGCCGCAGAGAAGCCAAGTAAGGATATTTTAACTGGTTTGGTACACGGGTAGATTGATTGATTGGTGTTTAACGCCGCACTCAGCAATATTCAAGCTATATGGCTGCGGTCTGTAAAACAGTCGAATCTGGACCAGACAACCCAGTGCAATTGGGAGCCGATGACATGTGTCAACCAAGTCGGCGAGCCTGACCACCCTGTCCCGTTAGTCGCCCCTTACGACAAGCATGGGTTGCTGAAGATCAATTCTTACCCGGTTCTTCACGGGTCTGTCAGCGGGCCTTGACGTTTAGTATATATATACAATTTGGCAATAATGAATTATCTATGGTTGCTGATTATGGCCATCGGAAAAACCCTGGCGATATAGCAAAAAAGAAAGAGTACCATATGATATTGCGATATGATATTACGATATCGATATTACGATACCGATATTACGAAGCAGCAAAACACAGTGATAACACGCAACGATATTTCGATAACACGATATGACGATAATCCAAAACAAAATGGCGAATCCTGTATTTCACAAATGACAGCTGAGAAATATCGCAATATATTGCTTTGTCGCCATATCGCAAAATGTCTCTGTATTGCGATATCGCGTCACCATATGGCAATATCGCCTTTTCGTATTAACGCCACATCGTGTCGTGTTATCGCCTTGTTGTAGATATAAAATGTATTTTGTAGATACCCCTCTGGGTCAGATGCCCGTCCTTGAGATTGATGGAAAACCCTTCAGCCAGAGCAGCGCCATATCCAGATACCTTGCAAGGACATTTGGTGAGTCGAAAATTTTGGTCATATCACTGTGGGCTTCATCGACTAAAAGGGCGTCCAGTACCTCATGATTGACGTAAGAGCTGACGGAGCAGTGAGAATTCGTGTTTTTTGTTGAAGAAGGTGAAATGCTACTGACTGGAGGAAGTCCGTATAATTACTGTAAATGAGGGCGGTGGGGTAACCTAGTGGTTAAAGCGTTCGCTTGTACACCGAAGACACGGGTTCGATTCCCCACATGGATACAATGTGTGAAGCCCATTTCTGGTGTCCCCCGTCGTGATATTGCTGGAATATTGCTAAAAGTGGCGTAAAATCATACTCAGTCACTCAGTACTGTAAATGACAGTCAGCTTGTGTTGGTTTTCCTGTTGGCGTTGTCCAAGTAATTAAAGTCACATTCGCTTCAGCAAAGAGTGTAAGAACGAAGTATTGCGGAAGCTACTATACACACCCTTAAAAAAACAAAAACAACCCAAAACAAAAAACAACAACCAACCAACCTGATCGATTTTAGTTGGTTGGTTGTTTAACTCCACACACAGCAATATTTCAGCTATATGTGAATAGTCGAGATCGATTTTGACAATCCAGTTGGTTGTTTAACTCCACATCAGCAATATTTCAGCAATATGTGAATAATCGAGTCTGTGACAATCCAGTGATCAACATCATGAGCATCCTGATGGGATACCGTGTCAACCAAGTCGCAAGCTCTTGATCCCAAGACAAGCATGGGTTAGTGAAGACCAATTCTAACCCGGATCTTCGTGGGTATATCGATTTTAGTCATATGTTCATGAACTAATGTACTTCGCAAATGTAACCGTTTAAATTTTTTGATGCCCTTACAATACAGCATGTATTATAAAACTGCGCAAAAATGCCATGGGAAGGAAATCTAAATCAGATTGCACGTAAAGGTTTTTACAGTTATTTGAAAATGATTATAAAAGGCTGAACTTTAGTCAGGGTTTTGTACTTTGTCGACTCATTGGGAGGTCGTCCGAGAAGTGGTAGCGTGGTTTTCGATAAATGAAGTTAGGTGGAAATTTCTAAATAGGGGAAGTACGTTAATCCGAATATCGTTAATCCAGACGTGACTTAGTGGTACTGTCTGGAATAACGAGTTTCTATTTTGTGAAGCATGTGAATCTCAAGGCAGGTACAAATGTACTAACTTAGTGTATCATCAAATAATTTCAGGTTTCTATGGTAACGGCGATCTGGAAGCCCTAGCGGTGGACCAGGTTCTCGGTGTCATCCAAGACGTCATCATCTTCATGCGCGACCATTTTAAAGAGAATGACGAAACAAGAAAGGTAAATTACACTATATGGCTGGATAAAGTGAGTGAGTGAGTGAGTGAGTTTTACGCCGCTTTTAGCAATATTCCAGCAATATCGCGACGAGGGACACCAGAAAAAGGCTTCACACATTGTATTTATGTGGGGAATCGAACCCGGATTTTCAGCGTGACGAGCGAACACATTAACGACAAAGTTACCCCACCTCCCCTCTGGATAAAGGTCCGCTGAAATTCCAGATTTGTCCTGTGCATGATGATCTGTCCTAAGTGCTATTCTCCGACACGGAGATGACACGCGGTGATGTGGCTGAAATACCATTCAAAGTTTTGTGAATCTAAACTCGCACTTCGTTTACTGATAAAGTCTTCATGCTTTCAGGATGAGATGGCGAAAGAGATAAAGGATGTCAAAGTACCGCTGTATTTCGGGATGTTGGAGAAGTTGCTGAAACAGAATGGCAGTAATGGATTCTTTGTTGGCAAGAAGGTGAAACCTCCACCATCACTGATACGACTGGCATTGCTTCTTCTGAGGTTGCATTGCTACTACAACAACACCTACTACTACTACTGCTACTACTACTACTACTACCACAACAACTACTACTACTACCACTACTACTACAACAACTACTACTGCTACTACAACTACTACTACTGCTACTACCACTACTACTACTACTACTACTACTGCTACAACAACAACAACTACTACTGCAACTGCAACAACTACTACTGCTGCTACTACTACTACTACTGCTGCTACAACAACAACTACTACTACTGCTACTATAGCAACTCCTACTGCTACTACCACTACTACTACTACTACTACTACTACTATTATTAGTTCTGCTACATCAACAACTGCTACTACCGCAACAACGACAACAACAACAATAACAACAACTACTACTACTATTACTGCTGCTGCTGTTACTATCACTACTACAAAGATCAACAGTTTATCTGCTACGACTACTAATATTATTGCTACTACCATAACTACTACAATTACTGCTGCAGCTACTACTACTACTGCTACTACTACTACTACTACTACTACTACTCTTGCTGCTAGTACCACTACTGCTTCTACTTTTGCTGCTACTACTACTATTAATACCACTTGAATTCATAGTCTATCTGCTACGGCTACTATAGCTAGGGCTACAATTACTGCTACTACTCCTACTACTACCATCACTACTACAACTACTGCTGCTATCTTACCACCACTAGTCCAAGGATCAATAGTTTATCTACTTCGACTACCATTACTATTGCTGCTACTACTACTACTACTACTACTGCTGCTACTACTACTACTATTGCTACTACTACTGCAACTACTACTACTACTACTACTACTATTACTACTATCACTGGAACAACTGCTACTGCTATTACCATCACGAAGACTACAAACTGACAGAACATTAGCTACATATAGAACTCACTGAAGATAGCTTACGGTTATACCAATGAGGTAACAGAACGAGTACATTTATTCGCACAATTTCAATATCTATACATAGAAAACCAAAATATTTACTTGAACTAGAACACTTTTCAACCGTGTAGCAACACATAATCTTCTACATGACGTGTCATTGTTGGGGATTAGGGCCAGTTGGCCCGACGCCGCTTAATAAGTGAAAAATGTTCTTCACATTAACCTTCCGGAAACTGTTGTTGATTTTCTTAAGTATATTTCAGCACTGTCAAATTGCAAATCATATAACGATGCAAAAAACGTGAAACACTGTTTGATCTCTTTGACAAATGTACTGTTCTTATTAACCAAAATCTTTCCTAACCATATTGAATATCCAGTGTGTCATTGGATATATGAATACTTTTTTGCAGATTAGTATTGCTGACGTCAGTCTGTTTGATATCTATGATAAAACCCCAGAGGCCATACTCAAGTTGGAAGACTACCCTCTGGTCAAGAAATGCATTGACAACGTTGCCTCCAATCCTGGAATCAAAGCATGGGTTGAGAAACGTCCAGTTACAGCGTTTTGACGTGATACACGGACATTGTCCCTTATGTCAGCAATATTCCTGCCTGTAAATAATCGAATCTGGACCAGACAATCCAGCGGTGAACAGCATGAGCATCGCGCTGTGCAGTGGGATACGATGACATATGACACATTCTCAAGACAAGCATGGGCTGCTGAAAACCAATCCTAACCCGGATTTTCACGGGTCTTGTTCATTATGTGATAAGTGCTTGGTGAAATAATGTTAAACATATACAAAGAGTCAAATCCTAATAACGATTTTCTCCCGATTTATTATAGAATATTGTAAACATTTTCTTCATATATACAATAAAAAGCTTGTCAGTTCATTTGGACACTCAGTTCGAAAGCATTTATAAGTAAACACTATTTTCACATTTAGATACTGACTAGGAAATCTATTCTTTACAAAAAGTCCGGTTTTGTAATTTTAGCGAAAACAATAAGTAACATTTCCAGAAGAATATTAGTTTGGCACCTAAACTGTAAAAGTGACCCTACTGCTTCAAGACGGGAAACAACACCTAAACATCATCTACTTAACTGGCATACACGCATGTTAACAAGGGCAAAAAATAATGTGTGAAGTGGTGTTCCCCAAGGTTGTGTTATGTCTCTTGTATCATTCATTATATACGTTGACACAACAGTCATAGTCATATTCAGCTCTAATGAAGGACATTTTAGGAACAATGTAATTTTGCAACGGAATCCTGACTATTGAAGTTCTGAAAAAAACTAGCTCACTGAAATAGCATAGTAGTGATTCTGACATAAACTATACATTCATCACGCCAGGCATCTGTCCATGTGTGCATCTCATTACTTTACCTAAACAGCACCAATATAGACCATTCTTAACCAATATGCATGACCTCGAGGTCAAATCGAAAGCGAGGCTTAAATAGGTTGACCCAACCTTGAAAATGGCGACCTCGAAAAGGAAAGATTACTGCTGTATGCCTTTGCGTTGGAGTGATGCCCGTAAGGATTTTACAGTATCTTTTCACCATATTCCCAAGAATAAGATCATAAGAAGGCAGTGGGTGACGAAAATACGGAGAGATCCTGGAAAATGAATCATAGTAAGTACAAAATAATTACGGCACATGGCATAGTCTAGATCTGCCGTGAAATGTACAAACTGTTCACTATGCAAGGTTTTAATATTTAGGACACATGTACAATGTGAATGTCACAAACACAGACACATTCAAACCCCCCCCCCCCACACACACACACACACATTGCACATTGTCATGTTCAAAATCAGTGACCACCCCCCTAGTTCATATGTACAAATTGACCCTTCCCCCTGCCTCCCAAAACAAACTGGGAGACACCCCAACCCCAACAAACACCGCACCTAAAATCATCATCACACCCCTAGTCATAAATTATGTACGGTCCATTATATTATTTGTTTTAAAGCATATGGACATATGGAGACACTCTTGTCATGATGGCAAGGGAATTTTATTTGCAAATATTCTGTATCAGTGAAATTTGATTGGCTGCAAATCAAAGTAACATTTCAAGTACATGTATATGCAGGACACACACATGCTGTTAAAACAAATCTTAAATATGTACTTTCAAAATTACTGCATGCTGACCAGTACTTCAGGGATACAGGACATATTACTGGACAATCTAATTACAACAACTGACACATATTTAGTGTTTAAATATCCATTTCAGATGCTGCTAATTAAGAGTCAGAGAGCATGTCACCAGCTCAGGAACCTCCCATAAGCAATCTACCACAGTCACCATCTCAGATACAGTAAGAATGTCAGACCGTATTAAGTTAATTTTGCCAACTGACATGGTTTTTAAAGAATTTAATACAACTGAACTTTTATTATGCTATGTTATTTACATATAAAAATATTGATTGCCCATACTGTCTAAAATATGAAATGATGTTAGCCTCTACTCCTTGATGTATATTTGTAATTTCAGAGATGATATGTTATTTACATATAAAAATATTGATTGCCCATACTGTCTAAAAATATGAAATGATGTTAGCCTCTACTCCTTGATGTATATTTGTAATTCCAGAGATATATTTATTGTTTGTGTGGTCGAAGAGATAATAGTGATGCTTTACAATGCTTATATTACAGTGAAGCAGAGAGTGATACAGCAGCCACTGACCCCAGTCCTACATGAGAACAACTCCATCAAAAATTACATGAACAGGAGAGGCAACTCAAGGAAAAGGTTGACAAAATAGAAACATTGAACAGAAAACTTGAACTTGAAAGTTTGGACTTTGCAAATTCATGTATGATGATAAAAAATGATTGAACAATTTACAGTATTCCATCATTTCAAACATTGGCACTGATTAGCTGGAACTTTTCATTTGTTGAATATCTTCCCAGGTTTTATGAAGTACCTTGCCCAAACAGCACAAGAATTGACAGACATGAATGTAAAATGAAATTGTTTCATGCTTTGTGTTCTGTAAATGATGGATGAAAAAAGAGACAGCTGTAATACATACACATTGATGGATTTAACTGAATAATAGAAAGGTATTTCATAATGGCATAGTTGTAGATGTAACTCATTTGCTGCTGTTTAATTAATAATTGATGAAAAAGAATGTATTTCATCCTGTTTGAAAAGAGTTAGTTGGGAACCAGAAAAAACAGGTAAGAGATTATGATAATGTGTAAGGGGAGAAAACTATGATAAATTATGAATTGATCCAGCTGTAATTGTTGCCATTCATGTCAGACTAATCTAAAAAGATATTTCTATCAACATTAATATTGCACCCAATATATTTTCAATTTGCATCCTCTGAACATTTTATTGTTATTCATCAGTCTTACAGTTGGAAACTATTGTGAATGTGTCTATTGTTATTGGACTTTTAAGACACCATTTCAAAATAAAATTTTATTAACTGCACTCCAGGTGTTCGTTATTTATTTAGGTTAATTGTGTGCTGTAGTGTGAATCCTGTTATGCTAACCTGATAATATGTACTCCTTAAAAGGGCTTCAGTTACAGTGGTACAGAATAAATGCACAAGGTCTACAATAAATCAATGTTATGGTATAGTAACACAGTATTGAAAAGTGTTTCAAATATTCCCCATGCAGGTACCATAAGTCCATTTAGGTAAAATACCTTCAAATCAGTCACGAAAGAAAAAATCATCCAGTTTTGTCTTGCACATTGTGTCCCACTCATGCTGATTGAATGAAATAGTTTCTACATGATGATGTGGCGATTCGTTTTTCCTCTGCGATTGAAACATGCAGCTACGCGCACATCGCCTTCACCAGTAGTCCTGTACAACTGAAAATAAATGCGTGAATAGATACCCTATATCTATAAAACAGAGTCGATTGGACAAAACATTTCAACAGAAAAAATACCAAACAAAAAACTCATCACATGAATAATACAATTTTATTTGGTCCAGATCCACTCGAGGAGAGCTATCTTGATCTACATATTACTTATAATCTCGATTATCCAGCTCAAGAATTAACAACACTACTCCCATGTGGAAGCGGATGATTTGAATCCAGGTCAGGAAATACGTTTAGTCTTTTGCTTTGTTCATATGTTGATAAAGTAAACGTGATTGACTTCCTTGGTAATATTTCCACTATTGTGACTTTAGAGTAGCTTCCCTTCATAAATGCTGCGCAACATGGTAAACGTAACCTAGATATCTAGGTCATATATCGTGATGTGTCGTGAAGTACAGTAATTATTCACCCTTCAATCCGTGAATATGCTACAGAAACATTTGTGTAGCCCTTTCCCATTTCTCTGCGATTTCCCTGAACTACATGCCAGTTTCGTAATGTACCGTTCAAGGGAAATTTGAAACCAGGAAGTAAACATTGAGATTGGTCGCCATTATGCGATTGTGTCCTTGCCCTATTTAGCCTCGTTTTGGTACAGATATGAATATTCATGAGGCCTCATTAAGAATGGTCTATAGAACACATATATACCATGCCATGTAGTTTATGTGTTGAGGCGCTCAGAAACAACATTTCTTTCAACTTTTCAACCTCATCTAAACATGTGTTATTTGAAAGTTCCTGCTTTAAGTTTCAAATATGCGTTAAGCAGTTTGTGAACATATCAAAATGATAGCATTCACTCGAACTGCCTGATTGCTTTATATAGTTCAAAGGTACTTTTTGCAAAGGCACTTGCGTTATTTTGGTGTCGTGTTAGAGTTATTATTACAATTTACCATCGAAAAGGAGTTTTTCTGACAGTGTAAGGATCATCTTTGCGGAGAATCTAGGATCGGCAGATCCTGCTACGCCTAAGGGATGTAAGGCGAATAGTAAGCGGAAATACACTCATCTCCACACACAACCATTACTCTACCTTGGTCTTTCCTGAAAACACTTGTTCAATCAGTGTTTGAAAGAAATTGCATTTGTATTTTTTATATTTCGCTGCTGGAAAGTGTTGAAGGAATCGAGACATTAGTTCAAATTTCAACGTGTACTTTTTACGAGGGTTTCAAATGCAGGTAGTGAATACTCTTGCCTAACTTTCACATCTTTTGCGAAAGGCTATAACCAGCAAACAATAGCAGTGTATAGGAACGTAAAGAAATGTAACAAAACGCAAGAGCAAACATTCCTATAAAACTAAATATATATGCTGATATTTTAAGAATAACGACAACAATGTTTGTCTGCGGTACCCAACACAACTCTACTTACAACCAGAAGGAAATGTGTGTTCAAAAATCTGGTGTCCCCCGCCGTGATATTGCAGGAATATTGCTAAAAGCGGCGTAAAACTAAACTTACTCACTCTTTGGCGTGAAGAGCGAACACTTTAACAACACGGTTATCCCATCGCCGCTGTATACGAATGATGTTATCGGAGAGCCTGTATTCATTGGAGATGACGTTTCAGTAAGAGCTGATGGTATCATATGATATCATAGCTCGGGTTTTTTCTCACCTTGATGTGTTCTATCTTATAGTCCCACATTTTGGGCGAGCTACACGATAAGGATTTTCTTTAGTTCAATGTGACATAGTGGTTATCTGTTTCTTGACGGGGCCGAGATCGTGACGTGAGTCATACATGTTGAAAGTCACCGTGAAGGTCTTTCGTCAA